GAATGAAACCCTTATAGGGAGGGAGTGAGGAACATCTCTGTGTGTAAGTTGAGATAAGTAGACTGGAATATGAAAGAGTACAAAGGCAGAAAACTACATGACACAACCAATACAAAGCACCTCAATGAGTGGAGCATCGGGCCAGCGATTTCGCTCAGTGTCACTGCACCTGCCTGGCAAGTGCAGGCTCCTGAGTTTGATCCATAGTAAAAAAAAAAAAGAAAACAAAAAAAAACAATGGAGCATCAACAGATAACTCTTCCCTTCCTGTAAACATGAGTGAAACTTGCCTGCTGGTCCCACATCAACAATTTGCCTCCCTTTGCCCTCCCTGCTTTTCTCCCTCCTGTCCCTGTGCCTATTTTACATAATGCCCTCACATACTTCAGTATGACCATCTTCCAACCTATTGCCTTAGACCTCTACCCCATCCATTAGTACTTTCTTTGCTAACCATCATTTTCACATATGCTGGTATCATTCAAACAACTGCAAAATGTTCTCATTCATTCTCTCATAATTTCAATTGTCACCCGAGCAAAGTCTACTTTACAACTCAGTGAACCTGAATCAGACTTTTTTCCTCTCTTCTTTCCCAAGTCAGCCTCCTAATTCCCCATCTTTTTAAATGAAATTATCACTTTCAATCCTTGGATCATAAAAGTTCAGAATCATTCTTGAAGTTTCCCTCTCTATTCCCTCAGAATGAAGATCTCATCCTTAATTTAGACAATTATCTTTGAACTGCTCAAAAATTAGAAATGCATCCTTTTTCACTATTTTATTAGAAATTCAGTAATGTGAAAGAAATTTTCTTAAACAGTTTTGAGACAAGTGGAAAAGAAAACACCTATACTGTATATGAAAATCACCATAATTATGAACTTCACAGCCTCTTGAAGTCCCTTCTCATTCTGTCTCCTTCCTGCTCATGTTTTGGAAACTGGCTTTTCTTTATAGTTCTACATTTAGGTTTATATGTATAAATAACACATCATTCAGTTCTGTGTGTCTGTAAAGGAAAGAAATCATACAGTGTAAGTTTTTCTATAACTTGCTTTCTTTCCTCAACATGATGTTGCTGAGATCATCCCTGTTGGAGAGCATAGTGACAATTCATTTCTTTTTAGAGATGTAGAGTGCCTCCCTTATTGTATGAATAGCCCCAGTGTATTTGTCCATTTTACTGTCTATAGGTATTTGGGTTGGCATCAATTTTTTTGCTATTAAAATCACTGTTGCTATAAATATTGCTGGACCTTTCTCCTACTTATGGGCAATCTCTAAAATATCAGAGTGGAATTATAGCATAATAAGATACGTGCTTCTTTAACCAGCTAATGCCATATGATTTTCCAAAACAGATGCAATGGTTACATTTTGTGTGAACTAGGCAAATGTTTTGAAATGAAATTAATATTTAAGACAGAATTTTGAGTAAGCAGATTGTCTGCCATAATGTGGGTGGGCCTTGTCCAACCAGTTGGAGGCCTGAACACAATAAGAGCTGCCCAAACAAGAGGAGATTCCTCGGCAGACTGCCTAAGACTTCATCTGCTCCATCTGCTCTCCTGTGTGTCTAGCTGGTTGGCCTACGCTTCCTGAACTTGCCAGCCTGCATGCTTGCATAAGCCAATCATAGGTAGGTAGATAAGTAGATAGAACTACATTGTGCTCTAACCAGTCGTTGTCCCTTCCACAAAGTTTACCCTTCCACTGCGTTCTTCTCTCTGCCATCAACATTCTCTGTTTTCTCTTCATCTTCCCTCACAGGATCTCTATCTTTTTTTTCCCTTAAATTCTTTGATTGGTACATTTTAGGTATACAATACATTTACACTTATCATTGAGTGCTTGTACCTGTCCATGATGTATCTTGGTTCTTATTTTTTTCCCCATTACCTGTGAAGGGTGGAGGGGCTGAAGGGCGCCCAGGATCTCGATCTTAAAATATTTTTTTTGCAATTTGTAATTCTTCAAGTTCCAGCACAAACTTTCCTGCCTTGAGCTGCCCTGACACATTATTGTTGGAATCAGCTCTCTTTCATGTCATTTCTACCACTTCAGAAACATTGACAGGGCTGATCTTGGTGCTCCAACTCACCAATCATGGACAAGTTAATTAAAAACTCTGACCTCAGTACATCTACTTGTATAATAGAAAACATTATCTCTCCATGCTGTTTCCTAAGTATTAAATGAGAAAAACACTGGTGACTTTATACTAAGCACTCAGTAAAAATTTGGTAGCAGAATATTTTGAGTGGCTCATCCTCTGGGGAAGGGTGATTTTTATAAATATAACTGTATTTACTTTAACTGAGAGCAATATGGAGGGAGAGTAATTTTCCCCAGGACCCTACTTGTACCGCAGACTGCCATAGAAGGGCTTATTTTGAAACGTTATCCTAACATTATCCTAAGTCATCTCAGCAAATTTTCCCATGAATTATATAAAATAAATGCATTCTTTATTACCATTAAATTGTCTAAATTCATTGCTAATTGAGAAATGCCTATTCTGAAGCTAACACATATTTTTAGAAAACTTTGTATTAATAGTACCATTTATTCAGCATAAGATATTCAATTTGCTCATCTCTGGGTTAAAAATTTGAAGGGAAGGAAGAGGGACAGGATATGCATTGACTAATGGACATTGACTAATGTCTCTTCCTTTGCAGCACCAGGGGTTCATGTTCCCCAGGTTGTTACTTTGCATTTACTTACAGATTTATTCAATGGGACCCAAAGGAAGCTTGAGGTCTCAGAAAGGCCACTGGACCTCAGGATACCTCAGTGATCTCACCTACAGAATCAAAGTAAGATCCTCATTCAAGTGTGCACTGGGTTAAATGAGAAAATCTATATGAGGCACTGATAATTAAGAGTCTTCACACATAATACATTATCAGTAATAGCAGAAACCAATACATTCAGGAAAAATATGGCTGAATTCCTTCATCCATTTGAAGTTTTTATGATCTGTTATGCAATTAGGATTTCTGGATTCCAAGTTTGATTTTTTTTATTGTTAAATAGATAATCAGCTCCCCCTTTATATTGCACAAAAATGTGATATTTATAGGTCTTGGTATGTTGTTAATAAGGGACAAAAAAGGACAGCTTAGATATATTTAATGTAAATTTTGAAATACAACATAATGTTTAAACTTGCTAGCATCCTTAAATCTCACCCTTCAAATCTCACAATAGGTTAGAACATCCTCACTGGCCCATTGTCCCCACTCTATTCTTTAAAAATGTAAATAATCAAAAGCAACAGCAATGAAACATGATGAAGAGTACCATCATGAAGAATTCAAACCAGTTCAAGGGTTAGGCACCCCTGATTATCTGGCCATTGACTTTGAAAAGGTGCCAGGAGTTGGAGAACTCTCTTTTCCTAACCTCAAAAAAACAAGAGCTATAAATCTGAATGATAAAAATATGAAAATATTCACAAAACTGTTCACACATGATATTAAACATCCTACCTTGGTACAGCAAAATCTTAATAATTTAGCTCCATTCTTTACCTTAAACTTTTGGAAAAGGTCAAGCTACCTACCTGCTTTCAGTTCATTGCCCTTTGGCAGAAATTGAAATACCCAGCCCATGACTGAAATTACAAAGACTCTAGCCACACAAGGCAGAAGGGAGAGACCTTCTCAGTCCAACCCTGAAGAATCAAGCCACATGCAGAATGGCTCGCTCAGTTTGGACTACACACTAAAAACTAGCAAACAGCATTTAACAGGTATCTACATACTCCAACAAATGAGTTCTTGAGTGACAAAATATAGACTTTAATAGGTGTTTAATTAAAGATATTTTGCTGTTTGACACTCTAAGCCTTAGCTGTATACACAAAATTAGTCTTGAGCTCAAACTACATCTAAAAAGTAAGGCTACATGTGGAGAAATTTGTCTTAACCTCTGATCATTTGCTATTCCTCAAATGATTCTGTAATTTATCCTTTAGAATTATTTTTTAAAAAGTGTTTTATCAGATGTCATATAATATTCTTTTCTATGTGTCCCTGGGGTGTAATTTGAATACCAGACAAAAGCACACAGTTTTAAAAATATTTTCTTCTTTAAACAGTTGCTGATATCTTAAAAGGTCATAATTAATCATTATGTATCAGAGGCATACAAAATAATAGTAATAGTGATGATAATCATACCATAGATTCTCTAATGACTGTACCAAGTTGCTTAAATGCATTATCCCTGAACCATTCAACAAAGAAAGTGATATTTTTAAGTTGATGTACTACTCAGGAACCTGAGATTCAGAAGGATTGAGCCACTAACACAAGATTATATAGAAAGTCATAGCTCTAAAACCCAACTTTTTTCAAAATACTATATCCACTCGATATGGTCATTACTAGAATGCCCAAACCACAATCACTGGTAGATACAGCAGCAAATACTTTAAGAACTCATTAGACTCTTTCTAATATGATAATGAGCAGTTTCCAAAAAGTCCTCTCTCACCAAATGTGGATGGAGTGAAAGATGGAGCCATTGCTTGAAGCCTGCTTAGGATTCACTAATAATTTTAGATTAAGTCATGCAGAAAGGTCCTTGAACTTCCAGGGGTTGTAGCTGGTACTGACTGCCTGGTAAAAGGGAATGGTACTCATTGCTGAGATAAAGTACTAAAAGGGAGGGAGCCAGCTGTGCAATCCACATGGTGCCAACATCAATTTAATCTAGGCTCATGTCATCGTGAAGACAATACTAGACATGCACCCCCACCCCCACCCCCACCACCAGCATCCAAATTTCTGAGCTACCTCCACTCAGAAATGACAGCACAGTTAGAAAAATGAAACGGAGTCATAGAGATACTCCTTTGAAACAATACCATCATAAAATCTAGAAATGAAACTGAGAAGAGTCACCAGAATGGGATAGAGTAGTTTTGTCTTTCGGGCTTTATAGAATTAAACATTGTAGGGGTAAAAGGAAATAAAAGGTGTCCTTACCTGACTGAACCACCTCTATCATCTTTTCCCAAGATCCATGGGGAAAAATATGGAGCAAGCAGGAATAGAGGCCAACATCAGCTTTGGAGGCATTATTAAAGGAAAGAGTCACATCTTTGAGAGATGTGGTTGAATTTACAAAGTGCAACTTATTTTTATAGGATGTCCTTATTATCACACCATATGTGGGGTGGAATATGGCCATGGACTGTTTCTGCTTGCCCACAATCTTGAACCACTCTGCCTGGGTTAAGATGGCCATGAAGGGATACACGCATTCCAGAGTCATACTCTCAGCAAGTCTGATGGTCGTGTCCCAAAATGTCTCTTCACACAATGCTGAAATATACAACAGCACACAGATTCAGTTAGACTTGATGATAGAAACAACAAATAAATATCTTAACCTAACATGATAGTAAATTGAGATCATAGTGAAGCCTGACAGTTTCCACTGCTGATAATTGGCATTTGAGTACCTTTTAATTTTTCTGAACAAGTGAGAAATTATCTCAGAAATTTTGTGCATATTACAGTATGATAGAAAGCAGTGCTAATTTTTTAAACAAAGGCATAAAAGATTACCTTTGTATACTTGAAGAATAGCCAAAAGGAAAGCAAGATAATCCATCTGTGGAAAACTTCTGGGAGCTGGTATATTAAAAAATAACTTGTATAATGTTACATATGCACAGGCCAGGCACGAAGCACCATTTCCTTCCTCTCCGATGCTATCAGTGTGTCCTCTTTTTCTGAAGTGTGAACACAGGAAAAAGATCTTAGCTTCAAAGGCAACTTTGCTCTCACACGGATGTGCAGATTTGAGTTACTTCCCTCTCGGGGAAAGAGCTTATTTTTAAGGTCTCATTTTCTACAGAGATTCATTCATTCAATAAATGCCTCCTGAGTGTCTTCTCAGGGTGAATCTCTGTTCTAAGCAAGGAGGATACAACAATACATTAAAAAAAAAACTCTTGCCATCATGAAATTTGCATTCTAGTAGGAGACAGAAACTAAAATAAGCCATACATTTATAAATATATATATATATATATTTGTATATACAACACTGTCTGTTTAAATATGTACAGTAAGTTAAAGATGTGAATTTATAAAGAAATGTAAAAGCAGGAAAGCAAGCATAGGGAGGGGAAATATTGCATCCCTTTTATATAGGAAGCTCCAGGGAGTCCCTACTGAGAAGGTGAAATTGGAGCAGAAATTGAAGGTCAGTGGCAGGAGCCTGTGGCTCTGGGGATGGCATCTCTGCCCAGCTCTATTGGGGCCTAGGCTGGCCTGTGTCTACTTCCTTCCTAAGCTCAGAAATTTGCATTGGTGTTGATGAACAGACCATGGAAAGGTCTCCATATACAAAGGAATAGTGGCCAGGAGCAATACAGTACACCATTATGTTTGGGTTTTTTTAACTTTTCATTTTAAAACAAACATAGAGTCCAAATAAATTACAATATCTGAGGTCCTGTCCACCCTTATGGTTTCACCTATGAAAGGAACAAAGCGCAACTGAATATCACAACTGGATGTAAATGATAAGAACAACTTTATATTTTTGAAAGGTAACTTTGGTGACTGTGGGGAATGGACTGAATGACAAAGATTTAACATTATATATCTGAGTTGGAAAAACTGATTTCATCCATTAAGTCTTAATTACAAAAATTTCTCTTAACACCAAGAAAATACTACAAAACTTGAGTTAGCACGAGTAACAAGAATTCCTAAATCTTCAAGACAGTACCATCCTAAGTGGCCTCCTTTGCAGCTATTATGTCCTACTTACGTCCCTTCACACACACGTTAACACTCAGTTCGTGGACATGCTCACACCCACACATACTCATGTGCTTAAACATGTTCAGATACACTACACATATGAACACACTCACACCCCATATGTGCATGGTTTACATGTACCCTCACACATACATTCCTCATAAACACACTCATGTTCACACTATTCACACGCACACATTCACACACACATTCTGCACATGGAGTGATGATGCAGCAGAGAGAGTAGGGCCCATAAACCCCCAAATATTATCTAAAGTTTTACAGAAAAGTTTTCTAACTTGGTATGGTTCCTAACCTGGTATAGGAAGAAAGGCAGATTTTGAACACACAGATAAACATATAGTTGCAATATTTATGTTAAGAAGAAAAACAAGGATGTGTTAGAATAGAAAAGAGTCAACTGGCTTAACAGACAAGCAGAAAACTACTTTAGGCAGGATGGTTAGGAAAGGGACTTTCAGGAAGTCACCTGAGTGCCAAAGCTTCCAGGATAAGATAGTTATAACCAGATAAGGAATGTAGCCAGGTACAAAGATGAGCAGTCCGGATAGACAAGAGAGCAGGTGGAGCAACCCAGAGATTCTTTGGGGTTTACAGAGTTCAAGGTGGAGCAACAGACTAGATGTGAGGACAGAAAAAGACAAGAGATTAGACTGTGTGGGTAGATGGGGTGAAATTAGTTTGCCCTTATAGACTTCCTAATGTGATTCAGTGACCAATAAAAGTATCAGAATGATTTAAATTATTAGGAAGATAACTGAACATCTCCCATTTCCCCTTCATACTTCAGTTTGGATGTCCATTCCTTTCCCGCACTACAGGATATTAAGAATCTAAGCTAGTTCACTGACTGCTGTGATTGATTTGAGAATTGGAGAAGCCAACCATGACCTGAATTGACCCAATCAGAGTAAAAGAGATTATTTGCATTCCACACAAAAAAAGCCCATGTCCCCTTTAATGAAAACAAAAAACAATGTTGCCCCCGTTGCTGTAGTCATCCAGCCCCAAGGAAAACAGCCTGGGGGTGGCAGAGAGATAAGATTAACCTGGATCGTAGATGACAACATTGCGCTACAGAATCCACCAACTCTTGAGTTTGAGCATATCATGTGATATAATAAATTTCCATATTTTATAAGCCAATTAGAAATTTCCTATGATTTGTGTGTATATATATATATGTATGTGTGTATATATATATATATATATATATATATATATATGAATTTGTGTGATTATTCTGACTGCCTCATGAAGATAAGATTGGGAAAGAGAAAGAGAAGGTAACAAATTCTAAGAACACTATTAGCATAATCTAAGCAAGATAGAATGACAGTTTGGACTAGAATGATTTCCACAGACATAAAGATAAATGAATCAAATGCCAGGAGATTACCTATTGCCATATAGATATATAACAATATAAATATCTTTTTAATTCCATGTGTCCAAGGCAAGGTCTGATCAGGAAAACACACTTACTACTTGAATAGAGGGTACTTCATAAGAGAAACCACTAGAAAAGGTAATAGGAAAGAGAAGAAAACAGACAGGGGTGGCAAACAATTCATAGAGGTGCAAAGGAAGAATTAGTTTCTGCCTTTAGGGTTAGAGGTTCCAGGAAGAGCCAGGACTGCCCACCGTGGTTAAAGCTGGGAGTTTGGAGGACATGAAGGCCCTCTAGAGATACTGGAAGAGCGAAGGAATGAATCTGTCCGAGGAGAAAGGCAAATGATAGGTAAGGAAACAGATGCTCAGAGAACTTAACTGAAACATCTTAAAGAAAAACCCACAGCTAACTTTATCCTCAGTGGGGAAAGTCACCATGGGATGAGGACTAAGACAAGGGTATGTGCTTTCACTGATACTATTCATATTTGTTGAAGGCTTTAGCCAGAGCCATCAGGCAAGAAAGACATTAAAACCATACAATCTGCAAAGGAAGAAGTAAACTATTCCTATTCGTTGATGACATGATTTTGCATATAAACACTCTTTTTAAATCCACCAAAAAACAAAAAACAAATTCAACAAAGTTGCAAAATGGAACATCAACACATGAAAATCTGTGGTATTCCTATACAACAATATACATTAGGAAAACTAAGAATACACTTTAGGAAAAAATTCCATTCATAATAGAAACCAGAAGAATAAAATAACTAGAAATAAATTTGACCAAGGACTTGAAAGACTTCACACTGACAGTGACAAAATATTGCCAAAAGAAATTCAGGAGGATCCAAATATGGACAAAACATGTATAGGAAATATGTCTAAGACATTCTACGTTCATGAACTGAAAAATTTAATTCTGTTAAGACCCCAATGTTTCTCAAAGAAGTCTATAAATTTGGCCATTTTATTTAGAAATGGAAAAGCTGATCCTCAAATTAATACACCATTGTAAGGAGTTGAAAATAGCTCAAATAACATTGAAAATAAAAGTTTTACCCTTTCACACACTGGTAATTTATACTGCAAACTTAGGCACATCCAGCCTTTTTTTTTTTTTTGAGAATGTTACTAACCTTGAAATGTGAGGTGCTGGTTGCTCCAACTCTGTTTGTTGGTTAAGGGCTTCCTGTTTATCTGGCTGCTCACCCAGGTCACCAGCCAACTCCCTTCTGTTACAGTCAAGTACCAGAGAGCTTTCTTCCCTCTAGGGGCTGCCTCTTGCCCTGCCTGGAGCTCTTCTCTCCCAACTAGTGTCTGGAGTAAAACACTAATATCAGATGAGGCAGAGTTCTTTGAAGTCAAGAAGTCTCCCTGCTTCTGGAAGATCTTTAACATTTCAGCTACTCAGACTCATTCCAAATTCAGATATATATAGTTCTGTTCTGCTGTTTCCTCCTTAGACTCTACAAGTTAGAAAGATTCACTTCGCATAATCTATTCTAACTCTAAATTGAAACTACAAACCTTTTCATCCCCATATTTTTTCTGCCATCAAAGCACTTTATATTCAGTAGTCTCTTAACCTCAGGAAGCTTTCTTATCTTTGCCCATATCTAACCATGTTTCAGTCTTACTTTCTAGCTACTCCCTCTGTTTTGTCTTCTATTCTCTGAAAGACAAAGTTCACAAGCTGGTGCTTCTGAAGAACTATCTCCCCATGTTTAGCAGCTTCTGTGTCTTAGAAATGCCATAGTTTCAAAGCTGTACTAGGAGATAAAAAAATGTTGCTTTTATTTATTCATTTTATTGTAGATAGATGAGCTAGGTAGAAATATTATGGGCAGTCAGATAGGGCTAGGTCCTCAGAAAGGTCAGGACAAAGGTGAAACACACCACAGTTGCACCAGAGAAACATTGGCTGAAAACCAGGCCTCAAGATAAAGAAAAGATGAACAGACCTACATACTTCCTCAAAGAACAAACATTGGGCCTAATGAAGTCTAGATAAACATCAACCAACTTGGTCTGTGACCAAAGTCCTCTGGACCCACCACTACCTAGGAGTATCTTTATTCTTTTCATCCACTCTTGTTTCTCAATTGGACCACCATTACCTAAGTGACTGTACTTGTAACCTTATTGGATGTTCCTGGGTGTGGCCCATGTTGTACCCACATGGGTACAACTCTTCTGTAAAGTGGGGTTCTCTGGCTACCTACTCAGGACCCCTCCTGACCCCAAAACTCTTCTATAAAGTGGGGTTCTCTGGCTACCCACTCAGGACCCCTCCTGACCCTCAGGAGCTTTCCTATTAAATATCTTCCTGCTCTTAACCTCTGTTGTTCCTAGGACTCACTCTTTGATTTCTAGAGAGCAAGAACTCAGTGCATTATGCAGCTCACAGGTTGGGAGATATTTCATATTTCACCTATGATATTATTTCCTGTAATAATTTGACTACTAGGTTATGGTGGTTCCCCATTGGTTAAACCATAATGAAGGATCTGGGTGAAACTTGAG